TCCCCCATCTCTCCCTTCTCAGCATGCGATTCTTCACCCGCACTTACAGGCAGAGCCCCTCTTGTCCGACTCCTCCCTTTCTTTTCTCTTCAAACAAGCAAACACACACATACATACCTCAGTCATACTGAACTAGCTGTAGCGCTATTGAGGGGAGACTGGAGAATCCAGGGTGTTGGCCAAGCAAGTAAATAATAATACAAACCAGCTGTGTCTCCACTTAAACTGCATTGCTGTGAGCATATTACCGAACAACTCACAGCTCCTTGAACTGAGCTCCCAGATATCTCAAAGCTGCGGCTAGATCCAAGTTTGCTATCATCTGTAAGTTTAAAGTATGTTGGTGGAAACCCAAAACGGATTTTGAAAAAACAAGCTTTCCTCTATTCCCTCCACCCCTTCTGCGACAGCTCCTTTGCATTGCTGTTATTCTTTCAAGTCTTGGCGTTACTCCTGTATTCTTTCTTTAACTTTTCCTCACCAAGTGTGCCCTGCCCCAGACATGGTCTGCGTATTGTCTGAAGGGCTCCACGAGCTGAAATTCTCTCACGATAGAAACACTGAGCAGGGAGCGCAGAAGGAGCATTAAAGAGAATGAGAAGAGGTAGGGTGGGGTAGCTGGAGTGAGGCACTGAGTTGTCTGTGTTTATTTTGGAAATGCAGGCCTGCAGACTTGCAACAGAGGAACTGACCCCTCAACTTTGCTGTGGCAGATCCTCGCTGAGAGAGCAAGAGCCTTGTGCACGTTTGGGATGTCCCACACAGGTGATTATAAAAAAGGATAGACCATATATTCCCCAAGGGGGGCAATTTTTTTTAAACCCACCCTGGGGACCCAGGAATGGTCTGCTCCAGGAGGAAACAGTGAGGCCGTGAGGTGATTAGTGGTTACAGTTTAACTGGAGAAAAATGCACGCTCCATGAGCCCAGCCAGCCAGGGAGCAAAGCGGTATGCACTGGTCTCCTTCAGTTTGCAAGTTAGTGTGAGTCAAGCTCTGTATCCGCTCTGTCTATTCTTAACGTATGGGTCCAGGAGTCTGGCCGTCACCCCACATAGACACATCACGCTGCAGCACTCCAAAGTATGAGTGTGTCACCTCCACTGTTCCACACATGGCAATGATTAGTGATGAGATATTTTGTGGAAGAAAAAAAAAAGCACAGTGCCAGACCGTGCTGATATGAGAGAGTTGTTTGCTGTCATTTTCAAGTTTAACTCAAGTTCAGCTATTGAATCTGCTCTGTTTCAACTTAGATTTTAATGAATTACATTGGTGACTTCAGCCTTGTGGCTCGAATGAAATCCGCTGGTTTACCGTTCAGCCAATATCAGCTGCAAAATAACCGAGAATTTGCCAAAAAACTCCATATTAATTACAAAGTAAGGAGGTCAAGTTAGTAATAACAGATGGATTATGAAACTGAATTGTAATCTGTTGGTATTGTGGCAGAAGAATTGATACGAAAAAGATAAATCATAATACACGAACACTGTGACACGTAATTTTAAAAGACCTCATCCAAATCCGACCATGGTTACTGTAGCCTACCCCACATCCTCTCTCTAAGTCATCTCACTGGAGGAACATGATCCTTCATCGGGCTACATCATGTATCCCCTCTGACATTTTCAGCCCAATCAAAGGTCAAGAGCTGGGATGAGCAATTCCATTCAACATGACATTAACCTAATGTTAGTCATATTTCATCTCTTGACAGTGGTGCCTCCAGAAGGTGGCCAGATGGGGCCACTGAAAATCTTGGGGTGGCACATCAAAACCAAAAGCCTTGTGTATTTCAGGATTTTTTTATGCTATATATATGCCTTCTCAAGTTCAGGGGAGACTTGTGGGTACCCATAGAATCTATTTTTATGTAGTTATCTTGAGATGAGGTTTCAAAGGACCCCTTTGAACATGGCCTTTGGCACTTGTTCCTCTGCCAAAATTTAGCCTAGCATTGCAGCACTATTTGGCCCCCTTCCCAACAAGCTAGCACAACATGGTTGATACCAGTTCATCAGGTCTTCTAGTTTTATATGATACCAGTACCATCATTATCTGGCTTTAAAACTCAGCCAAGAACGCCAGCGTTGCTACAGAGTGGAAGAGGTTATGGTAATAATTTCATTTGAAGGCAAAATCCCAGCAAATGAATTGGCTCTTTACTCCACATCTGACATTTAGCAAAGTGCTCCTAATGGTGCAACATGTCAAAATGAGCTGTGCCAACATGGTTTGTACCAATGGATGCCTTGGGTTGTCCAGTTTCACAAGATACCCCTATCTTTGTGCCAACTTCGAAAATAAGCACCCCAAAGCCTCTTAATGTTGGCGTCCAGTTGTTTTCACTTGTGGGCGTACTATTGTCTGTAACAGATGAATCACAAATTGTCTGATTAGAAATCCAATTGGTATCGTGTTCTTGTCTACAAGTGTAACCACAGGAAGGACATATCTGTCATGTGGGTCTACAATAAAGTGGCTCTTATCCCTGTGAAGATAAATGCAAGTGTGTATCAGGTGCCTTGTTTTGACTGCGTGCTGCCTCATTCAATGACCACTATAATCCTCCCACCCCTGCTGCTGAGTTGCCTTTCAGCTTGACCGTAATCCCTGGCAGCTATGAAACCCCACTGTGATATCAATTCAAACACTCGCACTGGCTCTCCCACTGTAGTTTGTACCACTTATATTCCACCCAATTACTGGTAGCAGTCCTCGTCCTCCTCTGAGTTTTTTCTTTTACCCCTAGTGGAAAACATATTTTAGTGGCCCCACAACACTTGTGTGAAAAACAAAACTTTCTGTCGTCACCTTACATTTCAGATGACAGTTCCTTCCTGATACCATACACACTATGTCAGACTCAACTGCTTCTTTTTACATCAGATGCGGTACACTTTTATTAGCCTGGTTTAAGGCATTAAGTACAAGTGCATTGTGGGTTCCCACCATCCCTCCACCACATGCCTCGTGGTTGTTCTCTGACGCAGGACTATGCCATTAGGGTCCACCTTTTCCACCATAAAGCAGCTGCCTTACCCTCACACGGTCTGAGACCTCAGGGGTATGATGTCACACAGCTGTGGTGCGAGGCAAAACCTTAAGGCACGGGAAAATTAGGGAGGCGACAACCACACCCGTGACTTGCTTTCAGAGACAGGCATGGGTGGAAAGCCTTTATGGTATATCTTCTTGCGTACCCGTTGCGGCAGATGAAGCAACTTGGTGTCAAACTCTGACTGAAGCTCTGTGCAAGCTGTTGCACCCAGCAGCTGTCCCAAGTATCTACATCTGGCCAAGCATGCAGTCAGGGTGAGAAAATGTACAGCAAAAAAAAAAAAGGCTGCCCACACAAACACACACGCACACATCCTGAGAGTGTGGAATGCCACCACAGGGATGCACAGCTGGACCCCAGTGGACATCTGGCTTTATATTGGCGCTGAAAGCATTTTCTCTGCAGTGACTAAGTGCTGTGTAAGAGAGGTATCGCCTGCACGACCAGTGTGTGGCTGGTGATAGATGCCTCTTCGTCTGGCCCCGGTCTTTCTGTCAAATGGATGTTATGGTTGACCTGTGGCTGAACTGATCATCAGCTGATTGGATAAACAATGTGGCAAGCAGGCCGTGGTCGCGAGGAGCACCTGTGCTCACAGTTCAGAGAGGGGTTATGGATTAAATAGCAGGGGCCTGGAAGAGGGTGGGAGGAGAGGGAGTCAAAGTCCTCCCTCCACACAAAGCCTGTGCGGCCTCTTTCGCCGCTCCTCTTCCCCCACATACTTTGAGAGAGGTCCAGTGGGCCCATAGCCAGACCTCCTCCAGTCTCATATGATATCTGTGTGACAGTTTCTCTCATGTGCCCACGCGTTATACTCTTCATACAGTCACCTTGGAAATATACGGCAAGCCTACTCAGATCCAAAATACAACTGCAGCCCCCTGAGTGTGCCTCGATCTGCACTGTGGCCTAATGCTTTTTAATGATCAGGCCTTATTCCACTCCAGCACAGGGCTTGTTAGGTCAGCCTTGGCAGGGCTCGGCTCTTTCCCCTGGCATCTTCTGAAACAATGGGCCCATGGGAGGCAGCCAATGGGGAGAAGGTCCATCCCAAACCCAGTCCCAGTGTGCACACAATTAGGCTTAGGGACAGTGGAATTGCTTAATTGGAGGAAAATAGCTCTTTATCTAGGCCTCTGTGCCTGTGCTCATCCTTGCCCCCTGCACTACATGCATGCCTTCGACTCACTTAGAATTGGTCTAAACAAAAATGATATAATGGGAAGGCAAAGATTTGACCAGCTCCACAGATCTGCTGCTGAGACCTGGATCATAAACCTAGCTACACTTTCTCACATTTAACTTGGTGACATGAGCGTATTTAGTCTATTGTGTGGAGACTATAAAGTAAATCTGAGGATGAGTGTGATTTTTTTTGTGGCTGTTTACCTCATGTGGCGGTCACAGTTTTATTTACCAATACATAACTGTTTTAAGTGGATGTCAGCAGTCTGTAGACGTTGAACTCTTTATCAGATGTTGTGACAGAACATCAGAGGAGCTCAGTGCAAGCCTGCGTCTTGCACAACAGCTGGCTGAGCTGTGATATACGCCCCTATATAGGGCAGGATTTGTGATACTGCTCTAAAAATGTCTCAGGGTTGAGGAGGGGGGGATGATAGTTTAAGAGAGGATGCAGACAAGCGGAGGAAAAAGGTCGCTCCCGTGTTCAAAGAGGTACTGACACGGTGCGTAAATGGCACAAACGCCGGTAAAGGCACGTCCGCCACGACCGGCCTTGAATATGACAGTGTGGGGAGTCCAGGCTGCAGGATATGGGCGCACCGCTGGAGAGTCTCTGAAAATAGGTCACTACCCTGTTTGAACTCGTGCAATTTTTCCACATTGTAGCAGCGCACTCACACCAACGTGGACACACATGACAGCAGACACAGTATACAGGACTGACATGCAAGATAGGCTCGCTCCTGGCTTACCTTACAGGGAAAATGCCGTGGATATGGCCGAGATATCTCCGACTTGGCCCCCCTCTTCCCGGTGCAAACTTCGCACGCAAAGTCCTATGGCTCAAGCGGCGTCGGTGTCAAATGACTCCTCGTCAATGTGTCGCTTTTTCTTCGATAAGCACGAAATATAGAGCTGATGCGTCTTGAAAAAATATTTCTAGGTGTCTGGAGAGGCGGTCCGTTCCCAGACCATTGTCGGGATTCTTTCTAAGCATGGGAAAAAGCAAACATGAGCTCAAACGCAGCGTGTGTGACAGCTGCTTGTTTCAAATAAAGACTAATCTATGGGATGACAGCTTTGTCTGTTGTTGCCGCGGGATGATATATTCTGCATGTTATCATGCCACTGGAAACCCGTCAAAAAGTGTAAACACCCAGATCCGTAACCTTTAACTGTTCCCGCTGAGGAAAAAGGAAAAAATGAAGACCACTGCTTGTGTTGTGCATCAAAAACGCAAAGGTGATTTCTTCCTAAATTCAAAGCGCATCGCTTAATGGCAACGCTGGTCAAGTGGGGTTTCCTATGGGTGGTCGTGGTTCTCCTGACGGGGTGGGAGGGCGGTTGAGACCAGAGGGATGGCACGGAGTGGTGGGTAGGGTAGATAGGGCGGGTTGGCGACGGGGTGTGGGGTAGAGGGGGAGGATCGTCTCCTTCTTCTTCGGTGCTTTTCCAGATGCCGAGGTGGAGCTGTTTGCTTTCTTTTCTCGCAGTTGTCCTCGTGTATCTTCTATTTTTCTTTTCTATTTTTTATTTTTTTTTTTTAATTCTCTGAGCACTCAAGGAGACGATGAGTGTTGGTGGTAGTCTCCCCCAAGACCGTCTGAAGCGCACAGACAGCCGCCCGGAGCCCAGCCAGCCCGTCAGGACCAGCCCAGAGTCTGCCAGCTCAGCGCATGCTTACTGCTCCGCCCATCCACCATGGGCAGTCCCCGGCTCCTCTCCAAACTCTCCCTCTCTCTCTCTCTGTCCTCATGGTCATCTCTCCGCCTCAGCTCCCCTCCATCAACAGGCCCTCATGAAGGGTAACACCCCTCTTATTTCACTGTCTGCTGTTTGCTTCTCCAGAGTTTAGGAGTTAAGACATCTCTGTTCTCATGCTGGCCACCAGCGCTGCCTCACCAGCACTGAAAACTCTGTTACATAATTGAAAAGTTGTGACTCCCAGACAGCCAGTTCCTCTGCTGTAACACTAATGTAGCCTGTATTTACATCCCCATGAACCAATACATACAGCACTATGTGTTATATGTGTTACTGCGTGTTATATATACTGGAGGAGAAAGGATTAGGAGGAAACTGTTTCAGTAAAAACAAAAAAATCAAAATCATAAAATTAAGCCGACAACAATTCTGCACTCTGCACATTATACAATGTGCACGTTCTTAGTGTACAAGTGTCATACAAAAATCTGACAGTGCCGGACTAAGCACATTCAGCGCCCTGGGTAAGCTTTCGCTGGCAAGCCCCACCCCACGCCCCCCTCAAAAAAATATTATTATCTTTATTATATTAATTCCAAACAAGAACAAATAAACAACTTGGCTAACAAAATATAACAATAAATAACAAGCAGGTGGCACAGTGCAGTGGTCAGCATTGGGTTCCTGGTTCGAACCCCAGGGTGGGGGAGAACCTCTGTGCAGAGCTTGCATGTTCTCCCCATGTCAGCGTGGGTTTACTCCGGCTTCCTCCCACAGTCCAAAGACATGCAGGTTAATTGGTGACTCTAAATTGTCCGTAGGTGTGAATGTGAGTGTGAATGGTTGTCTGTCTCTATGTGTCAGCCCTGTGATAGTCTGGCGACCTGTCCAGGGTATAGCCTCTCGCCCGATGCCAACTGGGATAGGCTCCAGTCCCCCCACGACCTCCAACAGGATAAGTGGTTACAGAAAATGAATGAAAGTGTCATACAGAAATCTACACTGCACTTGAGTACAGTGCCAGACTAAGCACACTCAGCGCTCTAGGCAACCCCCTCTCCAACCCCCTCCAAAAAGCATTATTATCTTTATTGTATTTACTCCAAACAAGAACGAAAAAACAACTTAAGTACTATTCAGACAGGATTAGTTTTACATAGGGATGTGGACTAATGTCAGTTTACCACAAGATGTCTGTAATATAAGTGTTTAATTCGCACGGGACAAGAAATCTGTAATTCTACCAGAGATGGCAGTAGTAGCTTGGTTTGCGCCCTGGCGTCACTTCTCTGTTGACATGTGCGTGCTATGTTGCTTCCTGTATGTGTTGTATGTGTTTAGCTGAAGGATAATAACAATTAATGATTAGCCCAATATGAAATATTGCCCATGAACAGGATTGTGTGTACACAACGATTAGCAATATGGAGCCTACCTAACACAACCAGAAGTCACATGGCTGTGAAAAGTGCTTTCTTCTCGATCTTATTGATTGGTCTCCCACGCAGGGCTATGCGATCATTAGAAGAATGTCCACCATCACGACTGCAGACAACACCGAATGCTTCTTCAAGTGCCTCCATCATCGAAAAAACATGGAAAATTAGCTTTAAAGGTAGGATCCGGAGGATTTTCAAACAAAACAAAATATAGACATATACAAATGAAATCCTGCTTAATCATCACCTATGGGCTTCTACTCATGTGTGGTGGTGACTCTGTTTGCAGAGCTCCTGCCCTTTAACTGTATTTTGATGTTTTTGCGAGCTGGACCGCTTCTGGGCGGAGATTTCTCCAGCCAATGAGAGAGCGCAGGTGCCTTGCCCGAGCGTGTCCAAGCGTGCACCAGCGCGAGCCTTGTCTGAACCTCTTCCGTGAAGCCTTCTTCTGTACCTCCGGGCTCCGTACACCCGGGAGGGTTGAGCCTGATAGGAGGGACCAAATCTGAATGTGTGTTTACAAACAGCAACTGGAAAATCCTCCAGACCCTACCTTTAAACACGGAAAAATGGTTGTAAACAGGACATGACAAAATATTTACATACATTTTTACAGAGGATCGCATTTGCACGGGATTAATATTACCCGAGGTATTTTCTCCGGACTGTTTTACAGAAGGTAAATGTTGTCGTAATTTTTACTGACATTATCCGTAGTGATTACAGACATGGCGCGTTCGGACGGGACTAAAATCCCTGGTAATAATTACTTTACCCCACGTCTCCACGTTAAACTAATCCCATCCGAATAGGGCTTTAGCTAACAAAATATAATAATAAATAACAAACAATAAAAAAAATACAGAAAGTGCAAATTTGCAAATTTCATCCTCTTAGTTTTTCCTTTTCTTGTACCGTGCCCTGGATGGCTTTTGCCTTTTCATTTTCTCTTAAGCCCCTTTTCCACTGGACTAAAAAAAAAGCCACTAACACCTGCTCACATCTGGATTTTGTATTTTATCGGAAAAGGTACAATTGGCATTTATTTCAGGGAGAAATAACTCTGCAGTAGTCAAGGATGTTTACTGGCTCCAGTTCCAATCAGATGTGACTTAATAAATACGACACCTCAGTGAGCGCGCTAACTTAAGCCTGTTTGTCAGCAGGATGCAATGAGGGCCTCTGTCCAAGCAGCACTCGCACATCATTGGAAAAAAAAAGTCTGCCCCAATTTTGAGACAGGGACTGAATAAGTAAGACTTATAAAAAAGAACTAACCACTGTAACATTTTCACTGGCCTCCATGGTGTTCTACGCTGTTTACAGACCTGTTTTCTGTCCCGTCCGTGATGTCAAATGTGACACACCTGAAAATAAAAAAAACCCACTAACACCTGCTCACATCTGGTATTTGTATTTAGTTGGAAAGGGTATCAGCATTTATTTCTGGGAAAAATGACTGCAGTAGTCAGGGATAGGCTATTCACTGAATCCAGCTCCAATCAGAGGTGACTTAAATACAGCACCTCGGTGAACGTGCTAATTTCAGCCCATTTGCCGGTGTGATGCAATGATCAATGCAAATCACCATCTGTCTCTGTCCAGGCAGCGCTTGCACATCATCAAAAAATGTCATCGGAACTAAATTTAAGATAGGGACTGAATAAGTAAGGCATATAAAAAGTCTCTCGCCTATTTTTAACAGGTTTACCTGCGTTTTTTTTTTTTTTTTTTTTAAATGTATACACATGCTAATTTTGGTAGGAAAGGGTATAACTGTAATGCTCTCCACATACACTCCACTCCACTCCACCCATCAGTGCTGTTGCATGTTCTGACTGTGATGATCACTAACCGATGAACACATTAAGGTGAACTGCACTGCCACGACTGGAGATGATACCCTATTAGAGACCGACCGTTAGCATAAGATCTTTGGATCATTTCTCCCTCTTATTCCAAGGGGGTCGGCCACTGCTTGAATACCACATAATATGGTGAACCCAGATGTTCAGGGGTTTAATTCAAGTTTTGGGTTTAGAGCCTGTTTAATGCTGTTCAAATATCCTGTTAATCTTGTTGAAAAAAAACAACCTCTTAGACTATCTTGTGAAGAAATAAAGAATAACTGCTATAAATCTGGTGTGCAGTGAAATCTACATTCTGGTTGACAGTTCCTGTTTGCTAATGCACTTTTCTTGTTTGGCACATGCCGTCATTATTTTAATGTTGTGGAGTGTAGCCTGTGCAGTGACAACTGAAGACAGCTACCATGTTGGCAAATGTGGTGTTACATACATGTTTCTGTTTTGTCCACCCTGTGGCATCCAGTGATTCCATTGCCTTTTCACCATGCCACCACTAGAGGGCCTGAAAGCAGCCTCGGAGAAGATTTAATTAACCCAGAGGCCCTCAGAGATTTTATTCATTAGCAAGAATTGATTTGCCAGACTGTATATTTCCATTTTGGGGAAAGTCATAGTTCTCAAACCATTTAATATTTCTGAAATAATGATTAAGGCCATAAATATATTTCCCTGCTGTAAAGATCCAGATATCTTACTGTGCTCAAAAGCAACATTTAAGACCTCAGTTTCATATCAGAGTTCAGCAGCTCAGGGTGTATTTTGTGTACTCATTTTGGAAGCTCAGTTAATGATGAATTCAGTGGAAAGTGACAGGTGCAGTGTGTGTGGCCTGAAATAAGACCAAAATACTCAAAATGTTTTTCTGTAGTTCAAGTACTACTACTACTACTACTAACACATTTTACAATCAGTGTGCATGTGTAGAGCCTCCTGTATATATATACTGATGTTGCATGTAATCAACCATGTCGTGTTCTGGATTTTACTTCACCTGCTTTTTTGTTACAGATTACAGGTCAAAATCTGTACCACAGAATATGTGTTCACATAGCAGGAATAATGACAGCAAAACATCTGTGTACAAGGTCTCACCCAACTTGTGCAGTAATCCTATAGGCTCATTCATCCAGTCATATGCTCAGTGCTTCCAAACAGACAGGACATTGAACTGAAAGTGAAACGTATCCATGCTCTCTTATAAGCCAGACTCCATTGACAAAAACAGACATTTTACCTTGCTGAAAATAAGCGCTACTGGTCTACTGCTGCCTTAATCAATTAGTGTGTTTGTGTTATTGTATGACTTGAGTGTTTTGAAAGGTTTGTCCGGATTGACTAAAGACACATAACAACACAAACTGACTGATTGAGACAGTGGTTAAGTTCCTTATCAGAAAGGACTGTCTGGAAAGTACTGAGTATACGACTGGATAAATGAAACTTGGATTATACTGTGAGTCGTGTGAGATACAACTTTGTGTGATATAGTTTTGCTGTCATTAAAAGTGGACCCCTATGACTTCTATCAATCAAGAATCTTCTCTTTTTTTTATTTGTTAGTTAACTTCAGAGGCACGCATGAAAAATAACATTTTCTAAACAGACTACACATAACACTGGGTGAGATATTGATATACAAATGATGATTTGGTGGGTGGCGTATTTCTCCTTAAGCACAAATGGAGCTTTTTAGAGCCAGGTTTGGCACAGGGTAGGGCTGCCTTTAGGACTACTGAGGGCAGCTGTGAGGTTGAGATTTTGTCATCGAAGGTATGCTTTGGATTTGGATTTGTCAGATCTGGTAGAACATAGTATTATAAACATATCTGTATCTCTATATACACTGCTCAAAGAAATTAAGAGAACACTTAAATCACACATGATGAATGAATTATTCAAGTCTAAAGTCTTAAGTGATGTACACTGAATAATGTGGATTCAAAATCACACCAAAAATCGAAGTTAAAGAATTGAAATCACAGACTGATCGAACTTGCGTGAGTTTCATTATGGTAACACATGATGTTTTGCTTCCTAAATAAACAAATGGACATTCCTGACGTTTAACTGAATTGGTGTTATACTGTGATGATTAAGTGTTTCCTTAAAGGATAACTTCAGTATTTTTCAACCTGGGCCCTATTTCCCCATGTGTATGTGTGTGTATGATTCATAGGTACCACTCGTTCTAAAATTGGTTCAGTATTGAGGGAGGCGGATGCAGCCGGGAGCCGCAAAATGAGCTAAAATGGTAACAGGGGCAAATGCGTCCCGTGTAAGTTTGCGCATTAAAAGTCCTTTTTTTCGCCACTGACCGGTTCAGATCACCAGCGCTATCTCTGTAAATAGCATACGAAGCGTTTCCCTTAGCTCTGGGCTGTGATGTCATCGCGCGAGAGCTTTGCTTGAAAACAAAGGAGCCATGCTGAGCGCTGCTCAGAGTGGCGCTGGTTGTCCCAGAGTACAGTTGAGAGTTTTACTGCATCAATTGAAAACAATGGTTCGTGTTTGTGCTTATCTGAATTGCAAGAACAGGATGTCGCGTAACACCTCGTACAGCTTTCATAGGCTGCCTTTGTCGGACGGCGAGATGCTGAAGTTGTGGCTAGTTGTGCTACAAATGGATGCTAACACTTCTGTCCAGACACTGCGCCTTGCAGACCATCGGGTCTGCAGTGCTCACTTCTCCCAAGATGACTACTGCCAGCCGAAGAAGAGAAGACATCCAATCCCGAAACACTTCTTCCTCAAGAAAACGGCTGTCCCACGAGTAGAGAGAGCTACAGACACAGTGGAGCAAAGCTCTCGTGAGATGACATCACACACAGGCCAGAGGTGAGGGAAACACTTAGTATGCTATTTACAGAGATAGCACTGGTGATCTGAACTGGTCAGTGGTGAAAAAAAAAAACACTTTTAATGCGCAAACTTATACGGGACACATTTGCCCCTGTTACCGTTTCAGCTCGTTTCGCGGCTCCCGGCTGCATCCGCCTCCCTCAATACTGAACCAATTTTAGAACGAGTGGTACCTATGAATCATACACACACACATACACATGGGGAAATAGAGCCCAGGTTGAAAAATACCAAAGTTATCCTTTAATTTTTCTTTTGAGCAGTGTATATCTATATCTATATAGTATTATACATGCATATTACAAAGTATTCTAAACATATCAATTAATCGTATGTCATGACAGCCATGTTATTATTGATAAATTGATATTACAGCTTGTAATAAGTAGGCTAATGACTAACCAATGGGTACACAACTATGTTCATGGAAATAAAGTATAATATTTGGTTCTGATTGGTTGAAATTGATACCAAAGTAATGTAAACTGTATATGTGACCATTGTAACAGACAGTTTAAATCTGTCATATCAGCAACTAGGCAACCAGATGGAAATTATTACATTTGATTTTCCTATTTAATTGTATGGGCTGGGTCAGTTTTTGTGTTTATTAGCCTATAAATAAGAACTACACTTAAAAGCTTTTTTCAAACAGTTTAAATGTGTGTGTTAGTGTCTCTTGGTAATCACTGCCTCTGTTTCTTGCATGTATCCCACATGACTTGATTCATGCGTCAACAGCTGTGTGAGAGCCAGCCTTAAAGACACCATTATGCAAATACTCGATAACTTACAGCTGCACCACCGAGGCAGACCAATTAATAAAACGCCACCATGTGTCTCCACGAGGATACAGCTGCAGTGTTTCATGTTTCCGGGTTCAAAAACAAACCCGCTGCTCCCATTTTGTGGCTGCGTGCGCGTCGCGGCTCCTCTGGATGTAGATGAGGTTACTATGAGTTTATCCTCCTGTATTAACACTGTAACACACAAAATGGTGAGCAACATACATGCGCGTGCTCCATGCACGTTCAGCCGTGGTGTGTGTGTGTGTGTGTGTGTGTGTGTGCGCGTGAGGCAGGAGCAGCAGCCTGTCCCTAAAAGCCCTCCCCGGTGCGCTGTTGCTGTGCAGCTCTGCCAACCCGTCAGCTGATCCTTGTTGTTCGCTTATCGCAGCTGTTGGAGGATCCGCCCCTGTAGTAGTCGTGCTCTTTATTAACCAGGCTATAGTCAAGGCGCCTTCATACAGGCTTTAAAGTGTTGTAAAATGGCTGCAGCTGTGTTTGTTACCTGTCAACTTTATGGCAATGTTTTAAATGTTACATGTGAATATTATAGACGATATTTTTAAAAAGTAATTTCACTGAAGCAACTCATAAGAGGGGAAAATATAAAATGATATCCTCCTGAGACCCCAGCTTTTGTTTGGTGTGCACTTTTAATTTCTCTGCGCTATTTGGGATTAGTAGGACTTGATAAGTATTTAAAAAAAACTCAGTCTTTGAACAGTACAGTTTATTTCAATGCCTGAACATTTAATGCAACAACAAAATTGAAAACAAAGCAACATTTTGCAACTCTGTGGGTTAGAGGTCACTGTTCAAGTCTAAAACTGTTCATTTCAACACCTGATCATGGCCGTGCAGAACAAAATTGCAAATGATTTTGTAGCCCTGTATGAATTTTCCTTGCTCCACACTCCAAGCTAGTAATGTCCCTTTTGTCTGTAGGAGTCTCTTACACCTTACTGGCATATATAACGTGCTGTGGTAATACAATAGCAAAGTCCCAATGTCCTTAAATGAGTACTTTCTAATTAACACCATCTCAGCTTGTTAGTATTGCTGAAATCGTATGTAATATTAAACTACAGATGTTATTAAACACGAACAAACACGTTTCGACCATTAAATTTGATCGGGTTTTGTATCTTGTCTGCTTTTGTGTCGGGATCAGCTGTAGATAAGTGAAGCAGAATCAAAAGAATATTGTTTTAACAGCATAAAGTGTTGTTGTGTTGGTATGCCAGGTGCCGAAAAACAAGTGTCATAGCATTTGATATGGTATTCGAAGCCCAGTTTTTGTACAAGTAATATTAATGCTGGTTCAAATAAACAAATTTGACCATATTTCAAATCTTTTGTTGAGCAACGGCTTAATGTAAAAAACATTAAAGGTCCCATATCCTCCTGAGACCCGAACTTGTGTTTGGAATGCATTTTTAATTTCTCCTAGCTATTTGGGATCAGTAGGACCCAATAAGTATAAAAAACTAAATATTGTCAATGATAATTAAGTCCCAGTGTCCTCAAACGAGTACTTCCTAATTAAAAGTGTCTTATCTTGTTACTGGTCAAATTTGTTGCCATATCAAATTACAAACATTATTTATCATAAATACACTAGATTCAACTATTAAATGTGATCAGGTTTGGGACCTTGTCCACCTTTGTGTCAGGATCAGCTGCAGACTGACTTGGCAGAGATGGCGGCCATCTTGTTTTTACATGGATTAGTGTATTGTGCTCTTACTACCACTAGATGGCACAACAAAGTGTCCACGAATGAGGACAACAGGTCTAAATTAGGTAGACTGAAGTATAAGGTCAAGTAACCCAAAATGTGATGTCCTGATGTGGTTTAATCAAATAATATCCTGGGCTACTAGTTGAAGTTTTACGATATGTATATATAAACGGAAGTTTATAAATAGTAGGACAGCAGGACAGCCATGTTCTTATCTCTTCATTTTAATTACAGCTTGTAATAAATAATAATTAACCAACAGGCAAAGAACCATGTTCATAAAATTAAAGTATAATATTTAGTTCTGATTGGTTGAAATCAATTCAAAGTATTGTGAACTGTATATGTGACCACTGTAACAGACAGTTTAAATAAGGTGAAGAAGTATAAGGCACAGCAAATCCACAATGTGGTGTCCTCACATGAGGGCGCAGGGTCTCAGGAGGATATAACCACGACTGGAGGATTGGTGGATTGCATTGACTCCACACTGTTATTCATGAATTAGCCGTCAACGTTTCCGTAATTCCCTTTAAAGACATATAATCCCCTCTCCCGTCCACATGTGCGCTGTGCTCTCGCTGTGTCTCTGCGCTAAATAGTCCTTTGTTTACATGCAGTCCCCCGTCTCTGCGGAAGGAGGCTTTTGGTAGTGCAGTGTGACTCCTACCAGCTGTTTCCCGCCTTGAAAGCCATCCGATCAGCTGCATACACACACACACACACATGCACACGCGCGCACACACACACGGTCATGCAGAGGGAGGGAGGGAGACAGAGAGAGAGAGAGAGAGAGAGAGGTAGAGCGCCACACACAACGAGGGAACCCCATCAGCTGGAAGTCGAGTAACATTACAACTCTCAGCAGCCTCAAACTACTACATTACACAGCCGAGGGATCCGGATCTGAGGATTTAACCCGCGTCGGATCCCGGGATTCCTGCTCTCTAACGTCATTATATTTATCACATCCTACGGAGACTGTTTGCAGTGTTTTTTTAATTTTTATTTTGAGGAGGGGGGGGAGGCAAACTGGCGAGAGGCGAGCATGGAGTATTTCATGGTACCAGCTCAGAAGGTGCCCTCCTTGCAACATTTCAGGAAAACGGAGAAAGAAGTGATCGGAGGTCTCTGCAGGTGTGTATACATGTGCTTCATCCGGCACGCTGCGTGTATTATTATTATTACAAGTCATCTGTTTGGAGTAGACGCACTTGGCGACGGCGGTGAGGCAACATGCTTCATCTGATCTGTTATTGTGTACACGACCCACTCACGGGCAGCTGCGGGCTTTAATAACCACCAAACACTTAAATTATAATGCGTGTGAGCATGTTGGGGGTCTGTGTGGGAGCAGCGCATCCTGTCCGTGGGGTTATTTCGCACATTTTGTTGCGAAATCGATGCATTTTGTGGCTAACAAACACAAACCACGTGGTTCCGTGCACACCACGCTGCTACTCCGCTCCAGAGCGCACCCCTGCTCTATTTATCCTCAAATTACCCCCGGTGACACCTATAGGTGCTGGGATTTGCGTGAGAAAGGGAAAGGTTGTGCGAGTGAGTGTCATTGGGTGTTAAAGGGTCTAGTTTTGCCGCACACACCGTGCGGGGTGCTGATTTCAGTCACAGCCATCCGAAGTTATTGTGGGTAGTGCGGCCATGCTTGTGGCTTGTGCTAAAAGTGATGAGGGGGTCTGGCGTTTGTTTCCTGTTCATGGCGCCCTGTTTTCGCTCACTTGTGCTGTGGATGTGCACAGCTGCTGCCTAAATCACCCCCCATTCGACGTGGCGATTGTTTTACTGGTGTTTCCGTGCGTGTTGTTCGCGCAAACGAGTCGCCTCCACTGCGTCTTTTCATCCCGCACCTCTGCCATGCTGCCTGCCGCATTGTTATAATGGCGGAGGACACGGAAAGTCTGCTCGGAGCACGGAGGTGGCGTCGGGCTCAGGGGTGACAGAGGGGGATTATTTGGCCTCGTGGAGGTACGTTTCCACCGGTGTGTCCCACGAGGGGACGTTTGGCGTTCACGGGGAGACAGGAAAAATTAAAAGTGGTGTTATTAATAAGGGGGTGTGTATGTCGCGGAAGGCCCTGCGATACGTCCGCAGCCCTGTTTGAAGAGGGAGGCGGAGGGATCTGCTGCTGTTGCTGCTGGCTGTTGGTAGTGACGCGGGCAGTGTGGGAAATGTAGTCCTTTGTTGATTTTCATTAAATCCTCATTGTAAGCCTGCAGAATTGATACATAACGAGGAGAATCTCATCCAAATTGAACCCAGACTGACTCTAGTGCTTATTAGATTAATTAAATTAATACATTTAAATGTGACAAACATTAAAGGCACCACCAGTACACTTTAGAGTAGGGATACTAGGGGTGGGAATCACCAGAGGATCCACAACACATTATTATCACGATACAGTGTTATTGTGATTTTAAATATGTGCGATATGCTGATTAATAGGATACATTATAGTGTGATTTATTACCTTCTTTCAACTGTAAATTATGCCCTAATGGCCAACAGACTTAGCCATTAGGGTTTAGAATCACCGGATGATTCACAACATGATATTAACACGGTGCTTAAGTCACGATACAGTATTATTGCGACTTTGAATATGTTGCGATATGCTGAGTATTATGATGAAATATATTGCGTTTTATTAGCTTTTTTCCAATTTTAAATTATGCCCTAATGGCTAACGCATCTAGCCATTAGGGGTGGCAATTACCAGATGATCCACAATACAATATTATCACGATACTGCTAATTAGACTAAATGAATAAATTAATTGAAATGGGACAAACATTAAAGGGCCCACCAGTACAGTTATCAGTAGGGATCCTAGCAGTAGGAATCACCAGAGGATCCACTATATGATATTATCACGATACTTAAGTCAAGATACAGTATTATTGCGATATGCTGAGTATTGCGATAAAATATATTGCAATTTATTACCGTTTATTCAACTGCAAATTATGTCCCCAAAGGAAAACTCTGTCATCTGTTTTATCTAATAAAGTTTTGAGTCTGTTCATCTCACCTCAGCCACTTTTTGCAGCACCGAAATGTGTCTAGTGGACTGAAAAAGCAATTGATTATATTATTCTAGTAGGCTACCTAAAGTTTAATTTGTCATATTGATAATTCATTAAATTAAAAAATCGATATTTGGTATTGTGTGACGAAACGATAATGCCACACAAAACTATCGTGATACTATACTGTATTGATTTTTTTCCACCCACTCCTAAGAGATACTCAGTTTGCTTTGCCCAGGGGCTACTTTTGCAAAATGGCAAGAAGCCAGTAAATAAACAAACATTAATATTTGTCAGATAAAATTAAATAAAAAAGGGAAAACCAGTTGAAGCAGCCTTGCACAGGTCAGATGTACACAGGGGCGTGTCTAGGATTTGATGACATCAGGGCTTAGCTGGCCCCCGGATCATCCCCTGTCTTTTTTATTTGATATTAAACAAGCGATATTTTGATGCTTTTTAATGCACTCTGAAACTTTATTTACACCCAGAGTACACAAATAATCCTTCTCTCAATTCATTTATTTTCATTGTGAATTAGAAAATGGTTAGCAGGCCACCCTGTACCTTACGGTGAGCCAGATTTGGCACTTGGGCCATAAGTTGAGCAGCCTATTACTGCTGCACTGACATATCTTACAATTAAAACTTATATGAAGACCACATTTTCAGTTCTTGCCGTTCTAATAAGTATTAATAATACAATCTAATTGCTGGCATTCCAGTTTCAGTCTCACATCTGTGGATTATTTTCATTATTATTTAATATGAGGATTTAGTCTCAGCTCTATAAAATGTCAGGAAATTGTAGAAAAATATCCATCACTGTCCAAGATGATTAATTTACTTTGATTTACATCAAGGAAAGTAGCAAAATATAATGTTTGAGATGCTTAAAGCATCAAATGTTTGCCATATTTGATTGAAAACTGCTTAAATAACATTGATTTTGAATGTACTTTTCTGTGATTTGTTCACTCAAACAATTAATCGACCGATCGTTCAGCTCTATTAAGTTGCTCCTCCTTCGTTACTCCTGTTTAAAGCTTTAATCCACTCTAATTGGGACTCTGTCCGTTCCTCTGTACCAGTTTGTGTTTGTGTGATATGGTGAAGTCCAGGCCCAGTTGGTCATGTTTTGGCAGTGGATGTGTTTGCTGGATGTGCGGCTGCAGTGCTGGTACGTGTGTGTGTGTGTGTGTGTGACTGTGTGTGTCCTTGCACACACTCCTTTTTCTCATCTGTGTCTGCACAATTGTTCCCAGTGTTTGCACTGAGGCAGCTGAGTCAGTACAGATAAGAGCTTGGCTAGAGAGGGTCCCAGAGATACTGAGCTTGATACAGCGAGGATGTAAGAGGAAGTTCGCTTAGAATTTCCCCTCAACTGGATTACAGCATATGGCATATTGTGTCTTTTCACCACGGCTTTAGGAAGGGAAATATTAACAGGCTCAGTGTTGCTCTAATTACATCTCAACTGGAGTTATCAGCACTGGTGCCACTGTAAAGAGGCCTTTTAACCACGTGTGGTGCTTATAAGGTGTCTTATGAAATGTCAGTTCTGCTTTAATGGCAGGAAACAGTTTACCTCACTAAGACCTTTCAGTGTCATATCTTTGGATTGCATAGCAATACATATTAATGTGTCACTTTAACACCTGTTAGGAAATGGCACAGGGTTAGAAGAGCAGTCTGACTTTGTGTCTGCACCTGGACACCTCAGCATGCAGGGAAATATGGCATTGAACTTTTGTTTCAGGGCACGGATCCTTAGCAAAGTATCACTATATTCTTGTGTGGCAATACCGTATCGTCACACAGTGCCAAGTATTGATTTTCTTTAATCATATAAATGATTAATGTTACAAATACAAATTAAACTTCAGGTGGCCTACTAAAATAAAATAATCAATTGCTTTTTCAGTTCACTAGATACATTTTGCTCATGTAAAAAACATGGCTGAAATCAGATTTACTTTGTCATCCTAGATAAAACAGATGTTGTCAAAGTTTTCCTTTTGGGGACTTACTTTACAGTTGAGAAAAGGTAATAATTACCAACATATTTTATCAGAACACGCAGCATATCTTGACATATTTAAAATCGCAATAATATTGTATCGTGACTTAAGCATCGTGATAATATCGTATCGTGCGTCCTCTTGCAATTTCCACCCCTAATGGTTAGTTGCGTTAGTCTCTCCCTCTGCACCTTCACCGATGGTTTCTGAGGTGGACGGTATGTCAGAGTCTTGCTCAAGAAGAAAAACAAAACGATCCATTGTGGCTCACAAATGCCTGTACATTTGGAACAATATTAGGGCCAATTGGCCAATATGTTTCAATAATATGTAACTGTTAGCTAACCACTTCACATCACCATTATGGAAAGGTGCTGCACAGTGGTTTAGCATTAGCTAGCTCATGATTCCTGGGTAACAGTAAACCTATCATTAATGTTGTTTACTGTGAATTAGTTGTTTTTGGATTAATATTAATGTGTATTTTCAGACACATTTTATTTCTCGGAAAAGCAAAACTTCAATTAAAACGTACGTTAAATTACCAAACAATAATTTGGCGACCTCCCTGACGTAACTCTGAGGACCCTCTAGGGGTCGCGGACCACCTGTTGAAGACACAGGTTTTGGGGTCAAAGAATATAGTTTCATGAATCCCTGCAGTGGTGGAATGCAACTAAGTACATTTACTCAAGTATTGTACTTGAGTTAAATGTACTTCACTCTGTTCTTTCCATGACACATTTTACTTCTAGTCCACGACATCTCAGAGGGGCATATGTCACTTTTTACTCCACTACATTTATCTGGCACCTTTTAGTTACTTTACGAATTAAGATTTTAGCTCACAAAACATATTAAGAATTTTAAAAATATAATGGTTTGTTATAAATTAAATTACTAAACCAATCATAAGGCCTACAGGTACAGCTGAAATGATTAGCCAGTTAATCCATGAGTATATTGATGGAACTGTTTTGATCGTTTCAGTCATTTTTCATGTAAAAAGAAAGTCATATTTCCAGCTTCTCGAATGTGAGGAGTACTCTGCATTAATTACTTTCAATACTTAAGGTGCATTTTCCTGACATAACATTGTCATTGCAGAACTTTTTTTTGCAGCAGAGTAGTTTTACAGTGTGGTATTAGTGCTTACACTCAAGGAAATGATCTGACTACTTCTTCCACCACTGCATTTACTCTGCATAGATTGCAACATGTATAATGCCATAGACTCTTGAATATTTTGTTTTTGTCCACACAGGAAAGTAGTTATGGAGGGCCTAGAAAGACAAATTCACACTTATTACCTGCATAAATACAGGAATGTATTGTGCATATCTCTGCCCATTCTGCTGTTTGGTGTTGATGCGATGTTAAAAAGAGATATTGCAGATATACTATGCAGGATTTTCTTAAAAAACAATATATAGTGTCATACAGATAACAAAACAATAAATCTAGTGTCGGCTTTTGCATTAACTTTTGCTTGTGAGCATATCTACAAACAGTAGCCAACAATCGTGCATAGTATACCTTTTAAGGTGTCCGTGAAATACAACCCTAAAGCTATGCGTCTTAAGGATAATCCATAGACCTCATTGTTTTTCTCCTCAGGTATAAAGTACTTCCAAAAGGCCATTCAGTCCCTCAGAATCAAAGAGCAAAGTCAGTGGCAGAAATGCTAAAATCTCCCACAGCCTCAACAGATAAAGTCACAAGACATGTTGCGTTAGTCGGGGTTATGATCACAGGAATACTGTATTTATGTCTGTATACTTAGCTTTGGTGGAAAACAGCAATTTTACGCCCATCCACTCTCAGAAGTGGGAGTAGGAAACAGCTCATTTAGATATTATTGGTTTTGAATGAATGAATGTCTTTGGATTAGGTTAAAGTTTACCATGTGACGGTGACGTTGCTGAAAATGTATGTTTTATTTTCTCCCAGTGTCCAACTAACTGCTGTCCTCCCCACAGTCTGGCCAACATTCCTCTGACCCCAGAAACAGCCCGAGACCAAGAGAGGCGAATTCGCAGAGAGATTGCCAACAGCAACGAGCGTCGGCGTATGCAGAGCATCAATGCTGGATTCCAGTCACTTAAAACACTCATCCCACACAGCGATGGAGAGAAGCTCAGTAAGGTTGGTCACAAAGAGAGTTTTGACTTAGGTGATGAGTTACATGTAGCTGCAAGGGACTGTAACGTTATTATTCTTCTCTTTTCTCCAGGCTGCCATCCTGCAACAGACGGCGGAGTACATTTTCACTTTGGAGCAGGAGAAGACGCGGCTTTTGCAGCAGAACAGTCAGCTCAAACGAATCATACAAGTAAAGCATCACCGGGCCAAACCTGAACAAGGCTTTACCAGGAATTTCTGTCCTTCAGTGTTATCAGTTCATCTAAAATGGATATCCAATTTCTGCTTCCTCTCCCTAGGAGCTAAGTGGTTCCTCCCCCAAGAGGAGGCGTGCGGAGGAGAAAGATGAAGGGATCGGCTCACCAGACATCCTGGAGGAGGAGAAGACTGAAGACTTGAGGAGGGAGATGATTGAGTTAAGGCAGCAGCTGGAAAAAGAGCGCTCGGTCAGGATGATGCTGGAAGATCAGGTAAAAGGAGCAACCATGACTTGTAACAACATTTGCGACAGTCTCAGAAGTCTGTGTCCAGACAAACACAGTGACTGACATGATTCTGAGTTGCTTACACACTTTTATCTCCTGCCCTGTGTGGCAGATGCGTTCCCTGGATGCTCAGTTGTACCCAGAGAAACTGAAGGCTATCGCCCAGCAGGTCCAGGAGCACCAGACCCAGACACAGAGCCTTGTCCATCTGCAGCAGCACAAGCAGCTGGAGAGGGATCTCACTCCAGCACACAGCCCACAGGTTGGAAACATTTTCATAAGAGTCTGACTCACACATAAACAGTGGAATCCTTTTGAGAATTACGCTCATGTGCTGATAAAACTTTTTCTCGATTAAAGGAGTACTTCACCCCCAAATGATTTGTATATCAGTTACTCACTCTGTGTTGCATTGAGTTCATTAAGAAACCTTATTTTTCTCTCATGCCTCCATGGTGAACGAAGAATCCAAGCATGGATTGAAGTCATAGGGGTCCGCATTTGACAACAGTATATCTAAACATCTGTTTACAAACTCAAACACAACTCGTGCAGTATAATCCAAGTCTCATTTATCCGGTCGTATGCTCAGTACTTCTTAAACAGACAGCCCTTTCTAACGGGGAACTAAACTGAAAGAGAGACTTATCAATGCTCTTTTCACAGCCAGACTCCATTGACAAAAACAGTAATTTTACCTCACTGAACACGGAAGCTGCTGGTCAACCATTGCCTCGATTAGGTAGTTGGTTTGTTTTATTGTGTGACTTTTGGTGTTTTAAAGAGTTAGTTTGGATTCAGCAAAGTCACACACTAACCCAAACAGACTACTAATCAAGGCAGTAGTAGACCAGCAGCTCCTGTGTTCATCGAGGTAAAATTACTGTTTTTGTCAATGGAGTCTGGCTTTGAAGAGAGCATAGATACGTTTTTCTTTCCTCGTCAGAAACGGGTGTCTGTTTTGAAAGTCCTGAGTATACGACTGGATAAATGAGACTTGGATTATATTGCATGAGTTGTGTGAGGGTTTGTTAACTGATATTCTGCTATAGTTTTGCTGTTGTTAAATACCCCCCCTCCAACATTTTCATTTCATTTTAAATAATCACGTACAAGGTCTTGAATTTTACACGCAGATGAACCATTTTCAGCTCAGTTTGAAAACCAGTTAAATGTGGGCTCTTTGGTCTAAATTCATCAGACGGCTGGCAACAAATTCCCCACCTACTTCCTGTGTGTGGCTTCAAAAATTTACAGACTTCTTTGAGTCAATCACACTGAAGCATACTGCATTTTAAAACACTTACACACAGACCTGAATTAATCTCACAGTGTACAGTACATGTCACACTGACAGTCTCCTTCATGTCCAGAGTTAGAGCTGTCAGCAGCTAAGACACATTTACAGTGTGTTAAATGAGCAGCTCACACATCTTTGTGTTGTGCCTGTCTCCTGCCCTGACAGCCGCAGTATCCTGTTTCTGCAGGCTAACGCTAACCGAACATGATGCCAAATCAATTGGCGGGTGCTGTCTGCCCATCCACTACTTGTGGCAGCTGGGCGCTGGTACCGAAAGATGATTGATGATACTCTCTGGAATAGTCATGTGACACTTTGTGACTCCCCAAGCAGGTCTCAGCGATGTGACCTCAAATCAATATGACCATGAGTTGACAAAATTACCCCCGTAACAAGAAATTACTGGAAATAGAATTAACTCTTATTTATGTTTCACTATGATCATGGCTCTATGATATAACTAAAGCTTGAACTGCTTTGATATATTTGCAGTTTAGGTACATGTCCGTATGGTTGTAATAAGGGTACTATACTGAAAGTGTTTGGTGGAAGCATGGCTTCAGTGGCACGTCATGAGAAATCTGTGCACCCCTTACTTCTATAATTTTTTCAGAGAACTAACCAGCTCCCCAAGATGCTTCTTTTTTAAGAGGCAGCTCGAAACACTGTGAGTAGAAGCGTTCCCCAAACATAAGGACATGAGAAAATTTAGGCTGATGAAAGCCTCTTAACATCTGGCCTGGTGAATATTCAATAAGCTGCCCAGCTGTATTCCTAATTATGTGTGTAATCGTGCTTGCACATTTGTATTTTTATATATTTAATGTTGGTTTGTGCAGGTTTGTCAAGATACCAGAGCGTACTCTCCATTTAACGCTACTATACCATTACAGTTTGATGTTACAGTGTACGAGTGACATGAGAATAATGTATGATAATTAATCTTTTCTGCCAGGTGTTGGCCCCAGCTACCCCCCCTGCACCTACACACCATGCCACAGTCATCGTCCCCGCACCTGCCCAGCCTCCCCAGCCCCATCACGTCACCGTGGTAACCATGGGACCGACATCAGTTATCAACACAGTGTCCACATCTCGACAGAACCTGGACACCATCGTTCAAGTAAGACTGCAGCTCATGTGAAGCTTTTCCACATGTGAACACTAGAGGGTGGTGCCATCTCTGACATCACTTGTCCTCTCTCTCCAGGCAATCCAGCACATCGAGGGCACCCAGGGGAAGGGCTGTACCGGCGAGGAGGAGCAGCGGAGGGCAGTCATCGTCACTTCAGGCCGTGTCCTCTCCGACGCGGCGGGCTCAGACACGGCCTCAAACAGCGATGGGCCCGACGATTGCTCACTGCCTTGAGGTCATCCCTGACGTCTCGTGCGCCGTACACCTACATTCACGCACACACTTACACACAAAGGGCCCAAGCAGACCAGGGCTACAGGAGGCTACAACCCCACAGCACTCTGGAAGTTACTAGGGCTGGTAGACAGATTGAAGCACTCGTTTTTTTTCTTTTCAGTATACACTCTACATGTTGTACCGTAATAGGCAGCCCGAATAGGTTTACACTTAGACACTCATACATTTCTCTGCTTCTCTTTAGCCCCCTGCTCTCTCACACACACTCATGTCTGTTCCTTTTACAATAGAGAGGTTATTATTAGAGCGGTTACTTCACTGACAGATCTGTAAATCCTCCGTCATACTGGATACTAGAATGTCTGCTAAACATCACCATTAATCACCAGGACTGTTGTCTTTATTCGGCCCTGAAGCTGCGTGACTGACCCACGAAACAGGAGACAGAGCCCAGCAGTGCGTGGCGTCAACGCCGCCCAACACCAGAGCATTTCCGTTTAAGATGAACATCCTTGAGCTGTTTGGAGAGACCCTGTGAGCTCTCAAAGTTCCACTTTTTAGGCTTCTGGATGACAGAATAATGTTTCTACTCTTGTGAAGTCTACTTTTTCATGTTTTGTTTCTGTAAGGTTCCCTCAGCCAGCAAGTTAAAGTGATTGTACTGGAAATACACACATGGAGAAAAAAAAAAGACGCACCACAATGACGGGAATTTAAAAGCTGTTTTCACGGCTGACTGGTGCTCACAGGAAATGAAGTGAAGCTCAGGAGGAGAGAGTGCGCTTACTGGTTCATAGCTCTATTCTTTTTATTTGTTTGTTTGTCGGCAATTGTTTTTTTTTTTTGTTTTTTTTTTTTTTACTGGGCTGGGTTCCCAGTAATCCCACACATGTATTTGGCATGTTCTTGTTTTGACTCATGGCCTGACAAAAAAATATCAGTGCTTTGACACTTCTTGACACCCTCCTCCCTCTTGAATATAAAAGCACCTGGCTTGTTAAATAAGCTAATCTGTGGGCACTATTGAGTGATCTCCACTGTTTCTGGTGTATGTGTGTGTGTGTGTGTGTGTGTGTGTCCCATTTAGTGTTTGAATCAGCAGGGCCTAGCAGTGTCCCAGACTCTGGCAGTCTGCAGCAGCACTGCTTTCGCCTTGAAATAAAGGCACGCGTGTATGTGCGCACAACACTCACACATACAGATACGACTGACATACAATCACATACTCGCTCAATCTTAAGAGCTGGTTTTATTCAGCCCTGAACAGTGTAGTTTCTAGTCCTCATTATACATGAAATATGAGGAAAATGCCCGGTGAAATTGTCTGAATGTGCCATGGAGGTGACCGGGCTGACTACACATGCTCTATGCATTTCCTTACGTTTTTCTTTGTGCGCTTTCTGTGTAGCTTTCTGCGCTATTTACCCGTTTCTGCGTAGATGATACTTAAAACGTTTTTGCCTGGAACTGTTGGTTGACAGACAGACTTTAAGACATGTAGCTCAGCGAGGCAGCAGCTTGCCTTACTACAAGCCCGTGGGTGCAGGGAGGCACTGTGAAGCCAGCCTTAACACAGCCCCCGGGTCTGAGAGACGAACCTGAACACTTGATCTGGGCCGTTGGGTGGCCACTGGAATCCCTCTGCTTTTTCCCCTCGCATGTGTTAGAATTAGGGCTGGGCGATAAGGGGAATATCAAATACCACAATATTTTTTACGATAAACCTCGATAACAGTATTGTGACGATATTGTTGGGTTGACTGTTGGCCTGGTCACAAATTTAGGGCTGTCCCGATTACCAGTTTTTGGGCATTGCAGCTTCAATGAGAAACTTTGGCCATACATCAAAGCTTCCACAAAAATAACGTGGCAATTAGCCACTTCGTTAGCACGCAGGTTGCACATTAGCCGCAATAACTAGAGAAAAAAAAAATTCTTTGCAAGACACATAAGCTGTTACTTACAGTTTTTAGGTGAGCTCTTTGAGGATATGTGACATACCAGTTTCCTTTGTCGCATCTGGCACAGATTTGGAAACTATTCCAGACGCTAGACGTTTTCGACATCTTGCTAGCGGATCTATAAGCCTGTCACGCATGGTCAGACTGTCCCAGTTTCAGTGACATTACATGAGTCGGAGAGTTACAAAACAATCACTAGATTTAAACGTCGTCTGAGAATAACTATAAATAATTTATGCTGATGCTTAATAAGTAATGTTGGATAAATATTTCTTAATTTACAGGCTATTTTGGTTTCAGGGGGTAATTCATATATACATTTTAAAAAACAGCATTGAAATACTAATGTTTGACATCGATTACCATGGCAACGATTCGGGTCAGCCCTATACAAAACATTTACACAATAAGATTTTGATAATCATCAGTAATGTGGATATAATGTCTAAGCTAATGAATAATAAAATGGCTAGAGCAGTCCAGTAAGTGGAGACAATTACATCACTTTACTGTAATGTAACGATATCCAAAATCTGACATTCTCTCATCTCGTATGGCGATATCAATATAATATCGATATATTGCCCAGCCCTAGTTAGAATATATATTCCCAGTTATTTTGTCTTTTACTTATGTTTGTTTTTATGATGTTTTGCCACAAATATGAACAGGTTGCTGATATACTAATTACATTCAAGCGCTCCTGATATTTCTTTTTTCTCTGTAAGTATTCATTGTATCTGAATACTGACTCCTTGTTGGATTTACATGTAGATTTGCAACCGTTGGCCCCTTCGTGTGCACTATTAAAGCCAGATTTATGTGGGGGGGAAAATTCCACATTGAAATGTCGACATTCCATGAAATTTTACCCATTTTTCCCCGTCAGGTTACTTTTCAAAAATGGAGCCTGTTTTATTTAGAGATTAGAGTTACATTTAGTGCTTTTGACACATCAGTGCTGTTTTATAATTGCATTTAGGGATAAACACTTTATTCGAATCACCTGCATCGATGCATAGATGGAGCTTTGAACTGCTGGACAGATAATGCGTTCGATTGAACGCACCTCATCTATCATGATTCATGTCATGGAATTGCCCTTTAAAGAAATATTGATGTCAGCTGCACTGAAACGAGTGACGCGTCTGTCAGATTAAATCATGGGACATTTTCCCAGCATTCATTACTACATAATAGGAAGGGGATTCCTGGATATTGAAAACGTGTTTTTGCAAGCTCTGCTTTTTGTAGAGCTCTAACTTTTTCCCTCCGAGTATCTGCATTTGGTAGTTTTCTGCTGAATACCGGAACTGTTTTATTTCCATCTGTGTTTTACACTCTGTTCTGCGTGTTAGGAAACGTTACGTGGACATATCAGATTGTCAGATGAGTGGGGTGGGCCTGGGGATCATTAAATGGGGTCAAGATTACAAAGCACTTACTGTACTATACTGGAGTCCGCCTCTTTCTTTTGTAAAAAGGGGCATCTCCTCAGCTGAAGCTCTTGAGGTTATGAGTAAAAGCCGCACAGCTGTGTATCCCCCTTTCCCTCCATGTCTACACCTCCTCCATCTTGTCCTGTTTGCCCCTCACATCTCCTTTTTTTTATTTGCAAAATCTTTTATGCTGTCTTTGTTTATCTCGTCAGTATCTCTTGTCTCCTTCACATTTCACAGCTCCTTCCTGTCCCTTTCCTTCTGTCTCTTCTGTGTAACCTTTTTTTTTTGTTAGACCTGTCAGTGCATATGGTCATCAAGAAGCTATTTTGTGTCTGTTTTGTTTTTAAGAGAAATGTTTTGGGGATAAAGAGGCTTGTGCCTTTGTAAAGACAGAATAATAAAGTTTGTACTTTGTTTTTTACGCATCGGGCCCAGTGTGTGTGTCTTTTTTAAAGCATTTCACTCTAAGTGTCGCCTGCTCTGAGATGTTACAGTTACTACAGCACAAATAATGACACAACCAGCTGACTTTGTCTCCTCTCCAGTTCTGGTTGGCCGTCACTCAAGCAGTACCGTTGATGCACAAGTGTCCGCTCCTGATTGGTGGCTGGGATTTTAAAACCCCTCCCTCTCTTGCTCAACAGCTCATTGCTAAATTAAGATGGACCACCGTCTCCCTGACAGTTAAAAATGAACACTAGGGACAGTAGGTGGCATCTCTTTCCATCATCTGACATGCATTCATTCATTCCAGGCCCCTTGTTCACACCCTCACACATTCATCCAGAAATACCTCTGGTTTCTGAGTCCACAGAGGCTCAGTCCTTCCTAAATTTAATATCTTGTTGCAATGTGCGGTGACTTAATAAGAGTGGACAGAGTGTGTTCAAGACCACAACAACTGACATTAAAGGATACGTTTGATGTTTTTCAACCTGGATCCTATTTTCCCATCTGAGGGTGCTTTCACACCTGCCCTGTTTGGTTCAGTTCAATCAAACTCAAGCTCATTTGCCCCCTAAGTGCGGTTCGTTTGGGCAGGTCTGAACACAGCAATCGCACTCAGGTGCGCACCAAAACAACCGGACTGAGACCTTCTTGGAGAGGTGGTCTCAGTCCGGTTATAAACGAACTCTGGTGCAGTTCGTTTGTGGTGAGAACGTGTTCCGACCTCGATCTGAACCAACTGCAGTCACATGACACATTGTTTGGGTTAAACATGAGCATGTTACAGTCCTGGAGGATTATTAATGTGCACCTCCTCCTGTACTGCCTTAATATGCACATTCAGCACATCCAATGCATCAGAACATTGTTTTCTAGTTGGAGCCGCACCTCGTTTTCAAACTGTGTGGTTTGACTAAAATGAACAATGACAGCAATATAGTCCACGATGACCAGCGCTAAAATCAACCTGCGTAGTTGTCCCTCCATTGTGACATTAGAAAGTGTAACATTTATCTTGCAAGTGTACTCTTCTTCAACGTTTTGTTTACTTCCTGGATTTTTCCTGCATGGAAATTCTGACCAATCAAGAGCAGCTTTCTCGTGCAAGGCATTTTATCTTGTAAATGCTGCTGTGGGAACATGAACCAACTCTAGGCAATTAAACACCTTTGGAATAAAATTACTCTCTGATTCGGACCAAAGCAAGCGGACTCCAGGTCTGAAAGCAGCCTAAGTGACTAATGGGAACGCATTAAAACAGCGGCAATGTAACCACCTGGGGCATGGTCACACCATCATTTTACGGGGTCCATGTCATTGGTTCGACAGCCCATTGGTTCGACATCCCATTAGTCCGACTGTCCGCTGTGCTGAACGGCTCGCTGCTGGCGTATGGTGTGCCGCGACCGGCTTGAGGCGGAGCAGGCTCACGGCTTATGAGTTTGTCACTTTCTTTTTCATTTTAACCCACACCATGATCTTTTCCTGACCCTAACCAAGTGGTTTTTGTGCCTAAACCTAACCAGACCTTAACCACAGGGCATCATGATGATTTCAGAACGGACTTTGGAACAATGAGTTTAATATGGTCGGACCAATGGGCTGTCGAACCAATGGGCTGTTGAACCAATGGGCAGTTCCCCATTTTACGTCCACTTATAGTGCTTGTTTTGCTACTGACAGACTCAGCACCGGAAATCAGAGAGGCTTTGGACTCTAAAGTCAGACTGATACTCACTTTTGGCTGGAATGCAAAATTAGTTTGATGATATTTTAAATGTCTAACAACATTATGACACGTGTGAACATTTACATTGTGGTGTTTTGCAGATGCTGGGTTTTGTTCTCCATATCTTACGACTAAATGTTATTTTACGTCAAGGTGACGTTGGCTTGAGACTCTGGATTTTGGTTACTCAGCAACACAACTTACAACAAACAAAATATCAATGTTATCTGTCGTTGACGTTGGCATTGGATGTCGTCCTGACATTGACTTTTAGCCACCTGACGTCTCAACCTAAATTCAACCAGATAGCAGCATCAAACAATGTTGGTGGCCAGCTGGGACAGCTATGTAAGGTATTAAGGTGGCCACGTGTCAAGTAATAGTAGTCCTTTTTGGGCATTTAAACGCACACCCAGGGCTTCAGTGTAGTTTGTATTTATTTGCAGACAAACTTCAGGTAGTCCTTTGACAGTTGACACAAGAAACCCTGTAGACACTAAACAGTGAAGCTACTGTTATGCTGTTATTTTCCATTGCCAGTGATAGCAACATCAAAGCCACAGCTAACGACACACTTGGAAAAAGACAGCGGCTGATGCCAGTGCCTGTCATCTGCAATTAACAAAGAATTAATGTTCACTAGGATTCATAAAAAAGCTCATCAAAAGCACAGATTTTCTCATAAACAAATCTTCACAGCCACATCCCACCACCAGTGAAGTTCCTCAGGATTAAGGCAGTTTAACTCACCAAAACGAACACACTGTATTGTTTGGACACGCTTCCTGAGTCATTTGGGATGGACATGCTCGAGTAAGAAACTCCTGCCATATTTGGGGATTAATTTACAGTTGAGATGTTGATTCCCAAGGAACTGTGAGATTATGTTCAGCACAGTGTGTCTGCTCGAGTGTGATAAAGCAGTAATCCGCCTAGCGTTTAGCTGTGTTAGGGATTCTAGGTTGACTCGGGGGTCTGTGTGTTCCAGACATACCCTCTCTTCAGCTCTCATCCCTCCCTCTCTCACACACAGTCTTAGGATGATTACTTCCCAATGTGGCAGCCAAGTGAGCATTGTGTCTTCCTCACCACAATAAGAGGGTTGACAGCTCATTTACTTGATGCACATTTAGTTTGGGGGAGTGAAGGCGGTAAAGTTGCAGTCATTTGATCGTTAGTCTTTGTTAGGCAAAGCCACCGTGGCAGCTCATTGTGAAAGATTTGATTCTTGGTGTTTTTTAATTTACAGGAAGGTAATGTTCCTTTTTAGTCCGCTTAAGTGAAGTAACTGACCCTGAAAGCTCAAGGCTATGCAACATCAGAAAACATGCAAATGGGAAAATGCCTACAGAGAAAAAAGAAATGCTGCAAACACAAAAAACACAACCAAATACAGGATCACAACAGCTTGGGCCTTGTCATCAACGCACCAAGAAGTTGCTCTATGTTTCATTGCTGAATCACTTGACTTCTAAGTGACAATACCTTTACAAAATTTGCATTTCAGAGACTGAAAATAGGTATGTTTAAAAGGAATCTAACTTTGAAGGAAAGGGAATTAAAGGAAAAGTTCAACATTATGTTACTTTCTGCAGTGTGAAGATCAATACAAAGTTTGATGCAAGAGCAGTTACCTTAGCTTAGCTTTAAAGAATACTTCACCCACAAAATAACCATTTGTAAATGAATTAGCCATGCTGTGTTACCTTGAATATGTTGCCTCCACGGACAACATAACATATAGATTCATTGATTGATTGGGGACCACGTTTAACAACAGCAAAACTATATCAAAACATCATTTTACAAACCCTCACACAACTCGTACAGTATAATACGTATAATACGTATACGTATAATAAGTTTCATTTATCCAGTCATATGTTCAGTACTTCCCAAACATGTGCATTTTTGTTACACCTTTAAACGTCCTGAGACCCTGCGTCCTCATATTAGGACATCACATTCTGGGTTTCCTGAACCTTATACTTCATTCTGCTTAACTCTAGTCTGAGTGGGTGGAAGTTCGCTGCATAGATCTGCCTCGCATTGGGCCGAACAAGCCACCCGCCCTTCCACCTCCGGTTGCAGTTTTCAACACGTCCTTTACTAACTTTTACGGTGTTTGATCTTGTGGGGATGTAGCCATTTTTCTGCCATGGTTCGCGTCCTGTAGGTGATATTTTTGTGGGTGTGTTACACCAAAACCTGTTTCCCCCCAGCAATATTTTTGCAAGTGCACCGTTGCTGTGGCACCGCCCAGAACGATTGTGATTGGTTGAAAGAAATACAAGCAGCCGGGGCGTTTTTTTTTCTCCAATCTTAAAGTGAGAGTTGGCCCAGCCAGTCTGGTGAGCAAGACTAGCTTAACTCAGACCTGTTGTCCTTGTCCATGGACATTTTTGTGCCATCTAGTGGTGGCAAAAGCACATTACACTAATCCATGTAAAAAAAAAAAAAAAGTGAAGCCAGTTTCCTTTCGGCGCCCATGTTAACCGACTGTGTCACCCACACCGCGCCGCGCAGCTCCGCCGCCGGCCCTGCAGCAATCTTTTCGGCGTCTGGTCTATTTTCTGCGCGAGCCGCAAGCGAATGTGTCAAGCCGGGCAGTTACCCATGATTGAAAAACAACAGCTGGGAGCAGAATCGCTTGTCGACCGGCGTGGAGAAATGCGCGTCTGATGTGAACGGAGCTGCTCCGGCTTGCGCAAGAATTTCGGTGCACTGCGCTTCACAGGCAGTGTGGCCCTGGCATCAGTCTGCCGCCAATCCCAATACAAAAGCGGACAAGGTCCAAAACCTGATCAAATTTTATGGCTATTTATGTTTGTAGTTTGATATGGCAACTAAGTGTTTGGCGATGTATTTATCTGCAGACATCCACCCTGACCACTGCCTGTATGTTCTTATTTTCTTCTTATTTTGTTGTGTTCTGGATGCAAATTTGCGTTTCCTATGACAGCGAAGGCAGTACTAGCCCTACTCTGCTTTACTCTGACACTGATTGGCTTAGCCTGACATTTGTACCCTCACCCTAACCATTCTTTACCTATCCAGCCAAAGAAGGTAGTAACCAGGTTCCAGACTGTAAGCAGCACTCATCCAAGAGGAAGCAAAACAACACGCATATAATGAGGTAAAAATGGCAAGAGGACAAATCTAGAGTTGGCTTTCATTTTCACTTTTGCTGGCAACACTGTTTATAACCAGTAGTGGAGAAGTCCTGCGTATGTCACAGTGGGCACTTTGCACCTGCTATACATACCACTCTCTCACTTAACCCAGTAAATTTCCACTAACCCCACCTCTTCACCAAACCTACCTGCCAGCCTATCACCTGTCCACAAATCTCCCACTCCTGTCAGTCCACCACACCCACCTCATCTAGCCAACAGCTCTCACCTGTGGATCATCAACTCCTGCCAGTATGAAGACTCCTGCTTCACTTACTCTCCTTGCCAGATTGTTCTGATTGACTGCTTCCTTGTTGCCGACCTCACCTGTCTCCGACTCTCCCGCTTTGTCTGCTCCCTGGTAAACCACTCAGCCTTCTGTCCCCGACCTAGAGTCCTGCTTCTACATTTCTGGTTTCTGTTTGCCTGTTCCATGTGGCTGTGTATAGGGGGACCGTCACCCAGCTCTCCACGGTGAGTTTACCGGCTCTGCTGCCAGTGATTTCCTGTGCTGTGGATTACCTCGCCACATGGCTGCACATTCTGCCGTTGTGTGCATGCTGCAGGATCCACTCATCATTGCCGTTATCAAGACCCTCGCTGGCTACAGTCGGCTCCACACAGGTGTGTTGGCTTCTCCCGTGTGAACTCCTGGTTTCAGACTGCCTGTTCATCAGGCATCGCCTTCTGCCTACTCCCTCAAGGTGCAGTTGCACACATTTGAACTAACTTACATGTTCTCTGCTTCGGTGTGCCATACCAAGCAGTCTGGACTGAACCTGCGTCTTTGAAGGTTCTGAGCCAAAAAAATGCTGTAACTGTTTTTTCATCTGCTTGCTCACTCTGTGTTTGACACGTGACGTCATTAAAGACTAGTAGAAACTGACTTGTTTGTCTGTGGCGCTGCATCTGGGTTCTAACCACACCCGTGACAGCGTAGTACACCTTTTAAAGGTTGGAAGCAGGGGATATGGGAAGCCTGGCCCTTTCTCCAAAGTTAAAAAAATATTGGTACTATTGGTACTCACTAAATGGTATCAGGCTTCTCATTTAACTCGTGGCAAGAATTTTAAACATGTCCCCCAAAATGTTAAACTTTTCCTTTAAGACTCATCCCCCAGACTGCTGATTTGAAACCAGCTTATTCTTAGAAGTGTTGAAACATACACCTATTCTCAGTCTCTGAAACACAAATTCTGTAAACTCATCATCAGTGAGAAGTTTTGTGATTCAGCACTGAAACACAGAGCCAGATCTCAGTGCATTTATGCGGAGGCCCAGGCTGCGACCTCTCTAGAAAGGAGAGTCAGCTGCTTGTACACGTAGAGTCCTTGTGGCATGCTATGACTCCCGCAACACCTCCAACACACAGATCTCAGCCCCCTCCACCAGCTGGCCCTCTCTATGCCCCGCCTCCTTTCTGTGCATGCCCTTTAACCTTCCTGCCTCGGTATATATAGTCTGTGTGACTATCAGAGTTCTCCTGGCAGCCATCATGAAGGGTACAGTCTTGATCTGCTGTTTCCTCTCCCTGCTGCTTTTGCAGGCCACAGCAGGTAAGAATTTCAGTGAGCGTTTTGGTCAAACATCTGGTGGATATATTATGTTGGGTGGTGCATTGTGGGCACGAGCTATGTGTGTTTGTACAATTGCTTCCAGTGAATGAAATAGCAATGTGGTGTAAGTTTAGACGCTGGTTTAATAAAAGTTTAATGAACGCTTGGTTGCTTTGTTAGCTTGATCAAAGCGTGACCCTTCAGAAAGTCAGAGGCTGTGATTCAGACTGTTAAAAGTAGGCGTCCAAAAGTAGTTGTTGAGGTTATTGTGTCCATTGTTGGGGCAAATTGGTCAGGAATGGCACTGGCTTACAGAGGCAGAGTGTGTGGGGACAGTGACAGTCATGGGGACACCAGCCGAGGATAGAGAGTGACAGAGACAGAAATATTAGCCTGGTCTTTCTTTGCCACCAAGCTGGACTATTTAAAATCTGTCGCAGTTTATAATTAAGCTGTTGGCACCCGGTGCAAAATGACAGACTTTCTTTTATTCTCAGTTATTAAAATGCAAAACAAACACACAGCTTCAATGCCTAACACATCTGATGTGTGAACAGATGTCGTATCATACATTTAGGTGGCTTTACAAAGGAGAGCTTTTGAGGATCATTCAAACTCAGCCTCTCCTGTGGACTGACAGCATGTCAGCTGTCCTAATGCATGGCACCAGCTGATGGAAAGTCTTAGTCTAACTAAGAAGAGAACAGCCACACAAGGGCTTGAATGGTCTCTTATACCGCTGCATTCATAGATGTAATCTCACATTGCTTCATTCCTGAACTTTATTTTCCACCTTCTGGTTTGGAAGAGTTACTCAGAATTAAAATCCCTACAGATGTGATGATAATCCATTGCATCTTAAACTACAGAGATCATAATGATCTCTCAATATGATTCCATGGCACCCATGAGGTTCAATGTGATAGTGACAGCAACTTCTCCCAGATTACCGCTTCTAAAAATGCAGACTGGTCTCTGGGTCTGGACTGGAGCGGTTGGCGTTACCCTTGTCTGTCACCCTTGTCCGTCCTTGGGGTGGCGTTCAGCTCCACAGCCCGGGCCCAGGCCTCCATATTCCAGGCTACTGTCAGGTGTCTAAGATTGGAAGGCCTCCTGAAACCCAACACTATTCACTACAGTTCCTCCCTCCCTCCCTCTGCTTGACTCCCCTTCCCTCCTGACTCCTCACCCCTCCCAGCCCCATGCTTCCCTTTAGATACAAGCACAGCTGCTGTCACTCTGCACTGTCACAATCGCAATTTATTCCCAGCAGTTGGCCTTATAGGGACATGCATTCTCCAGGCAGGAGGGGCCAGGCTTTGACTGCAAGTCATGCCTTCATAGACTGCTTCTGCAGGCCCATGCAGGTGTCTTTGGTGGCCTCGGTCTCTAATGTGCACATGTATTGATTTTTTTTTTTTTTTTGCTGCGGAGCACACAGGAGTTTGGATTCCTATGCCTGCAGGGTATGGTCAGTTAAGGGAATCATGAACTCCTTGCTGCTCAGCGTGTAATCATCAGTGTTATTGATTGGTTCGATCGCTGTCAGGAACTCCATTGGAGTTGCAGAGATGAGCAGAGAGGGTAGAAGGCTAATCTCCTTCCAAAGGAATGTTAAATTCGATTTGCTATCATCTCATCATGGGTTGTCTAACAGCCCTGGGATGTGCAGATTGTCAAAGACATTAATGTTATGTCCTAATATGATAATGTTTAGTAGATTTTGTAAGAAATACAGCTGGAAGCAGCTGCTGACATGGTGATCTTGATGTTGTGAAATCTCACACTCATTTCTGACACGCATCCGTGTTTAAACAAATTTAAAGAGTGAAGCCAGTTGATTACACATCCACTAGAATTATTAATTACAGTCATCTGCATTGCTGTAAAGCAAGGACACCTTGACTTTGGGAACTGCAGACATGGTTGAAGGAATCATTCTGGTACAATAATGTCTTACATGTCTCTGTGTATGGTCAGGCATAATTAGGCTCTGGTGGAGCACCTTCAGGTCAAGTGCCGCCTGGAGCGCTTCTCAAAATGCTCTTCTGACTCTGCCATAATATTCCTTTACCATCATTTACCTGCAGTGTTAGCTTCCATCTTTCAAGGAGCAGAGGAAACCTGTGGGTTTTTTTTGGTGGAGCAAATGAGTCAAATGTCATGTCACTTGTCATGTCGGAGTAAACATAGGTTGCTAATGTAAAGTTTGGGTTATTATAAGGTTGCCAGAAACCCTACACTAACCAGGTCTTGTGTGAATGGCGCTGACTGACAACACAAGGATTAAATCTGTGTTCAGCGTCCGATTCCATACGTGTTGTCTAAGTGTGAGATGGGTTCAAGAAAGCTGATAATGCAATACAAAAATGTCATTAGTAAAAAAACAATCACAGCATATTGCTTAGATGCAACCCTCAGAATCCAAGAGATGAGTTTTTCTTTAATATCCAAATAAATCACAGTCTCTTTGGGACCTTGATTAGTTCTTCACACCAGCCTGTTTATACTTGAGTGGTAACACTATCCATCCTCGATACAGTAGAAGCATCTTTGGCTTCCTCACTTTGCAGAGGAGAGACGTGGACATTTAAATGCGCACCGTCTCCACGTGATCCCCTCTGATGGCATGTGGCATGTCTGGGACACCCCTACGCTGGTGGTAGTAGTAGAAGGGACACACCAGTCAACTGCCTTACAACACACCCCTCCTTGAGACAAGCCCCCCAGTCCCAAGGGCACCTGACGTCCTCTCCTGGCTTTCTAACAGGAGAGCAGGGATAGAGGCGTCAGATCAACACCTCAGGGTAAAGTGCCTTTGCTGCTGCGCCTTCCTTTGAGCCTGTCACTCAACTGCAAGTATGGCTGTCAGTGACCCCTTAGAGGACTTATAATCTGGACACATAAGATGGTCAGTGACGATCATAAATCCAGTTATGTTTTTTATCTGAAATACATGCATTTACAGTACATAATGTATGTCACTATGACATGAGTTATACTCATAATTGAACTGTATTTCTTGCTTAAAATGCCTGAGATACAAGGAAAACCATAGTGCATCTTATTTGTAAAGTATCAGTACTATATTTGAAACCTACGTGAGCTGTCCCGTTACAGTAGCTCTCGTTTTGGTTAGCCTGTATATTACACAATCAGCTGTAAGGGATGTGAATTTCTATGAGTCTCCACACTGACTAAAATAGGAGCCAGCCATTCAGCCCCCTCCTCTGTCCATCTTCTGACCCATTGTGGGTCTATTTTTGACCATGGGGGAGTACTAGCTCCACAAGCTGTGCCACCTGTTGCCATCTGTGGCCTCTTCTCACCACACCCTGCACAAGTCTGCTGACCACTCTCACATCTCTAACCCTTCCAAGAGGAAGAAACATGCAGAAACGTGCATTTAACCCTAGCATTCATTAGGGTTCATTTTTAGTTAAATGTTTGAGAATTGTTCTTCTTCATGTGCAAGAAATTTGGTTTGTGTTTGTCAATCAGTGCTCAGGTAAAAATGGTCCACTCTGTTTAAATTGAATGACTCTCCATGGATCTTTCCAGTGGAACCCCCTGGCCTTTACTTAAGGTCGCCTGAATCCTCCCATGCTCAGGATAAATCCTCTGAGTGGGGGTTCCAGGCCTGTCACCCTCATCTGGTTCATAATTCAATTTACCTCCACTGTGCTGCAAGCAGAACATGATCCTGGGGTTTTACACATACACAGATACCTAATATATATAAAGTGTTAATGCACATGGCTGCGGATACATACTAGCACACATTCATATCCACACAGGAACATAATGCACTTTAGGGTGAGCCCTGGTTGTATGTTTTGACTACATTAATGCACAGTTGGTAAATTTGACAAAATTAAGTTTCTGTTGTATGTGCTCAAATTGTGAAAAATCCACACGGCCGTACAGGAAACAAATAGTCGCTGCCTCTTCCTACAGCTTTCATTTGCTAGAATCCTCTGCAGCCGAATGAAATAAACCAATCAGAGTTGAGGAGTCTCTAACGCAGTCATGTCAGTCACTTTGTGAGCTGTGTTCCAACTTAAAAACAAGGCAGAAAATATGAATCTAGATTCTGTTTCTGCATTTCCTATTTCTCATCTCAAATGTTTTCAGAAACATACTTTAGTGTACTGTTTAGCTGTCAAATTAGACGATTTCTGACCAGCCACCATGTTGAAAACAGTTGCCCCCTTTATGGATTACTGAACGGGCCTACTGGCCACAGGCCCAGGGGCCCCACTGGTCTTCACCTGCAAAATATCACTCAAATGAACACATTCAGGCCAGAAAAGGGCTCAGAATGACTGCAAAGAGACACAGAACAACCCCAACAAGACACAATATTACTTTAAATAGAGCCTACAAAGATACTTTAATAAAGAGGCAAAACCACCATAAAATCTAAGTGTCTTGTTCAAATGTAGGAAAGGTTGTGCGGCCTTTTGCATGTCTCTGCCCAGGGGCTCATGTCTCATAATCCGCCCATGCACCAGCCAGAGCAAACTTTCTCTTTCTCATTTACAGCTAAACAGTATGCTAAAATATGTTTCTGAAAACATTTAAGGTGAGAAAGAGGCAATGCAGTAACAGAATCTTGATTCATATTTGGTCAGCGCTGCCTAATTTAATAGTTTGATAGTTTGACCGCAGTTCACGAGCAGTGATTGACATGGATTACAGCGTTAGAGACGCCTCGGCTTTGATGGTTGTTTTCATTTATGTACAGTAGATTATTAGATATGTCATAAGAAGCACTATGAGGAGGCAGATGAACATGATTTTTGTCAATGACTATGTGTCTCATGTACTACTGTGTGAGTACAGTTTCAGTTTTAGCAAATATGACAAAGTTATTGTTAAAAATGCAGCTTTAATGTAGTAAGTGCTTTTTTTGTTCAGTATGTGATTTCTTGTCTGATTAGTTGACAGCTCTTGACCGGCATTCTTTTGACTCTATTTCTGTCTATTTGAATGTTAGA